GTATTGTGTCTACTGAAACAACAGTGGGTAATGCTTTATAATATTCAAATTAATAAGTTTACTAATAAGGTGACATATAATATACTTACAAACATTTATGAAGCACAATATATGTGTTTACTTGAACTACAATCAGCATTTAGTGTTTTAGGAATATAACACATACAGAGTAACATAAAGGATGGGGAAAACACACCAGTTAACACTCTCGTGCGTACCTGAAGGCCGACATTCCCAGCCTGACCGTCTTTGACAATCTGTGATATATAAAGACCGCTGCCAAACTCCAGCCCTCCTCGGACACTCAGACCCAGTCCATCACGATGTGTCCGATCCAATCTCACCTCTTTCAGCTTCCTGCACAGGAGAGAGGAAGAGATTAAACAGGATGTACGAGCCGGGTAAGATTTAGACAAGGAGAAAGAAGAATGGAACCAAGAACAACACAGAAGAAGTGGGGCCGCTCAGGGATATTATTGCATAGTTAGATCTTCTATATATGACGTATTATATTATGTACACATGAGTGTTACACACCACATTCACACCAGTACCAGTAGCAGGACACGAGTCTCTGCTTCACTCACCGTGACCTCTTCGGGGTCAGCAGGTCATACTCCACCTGGTGTTTGAGGGGGATGAGAGGTCGGATGGCGTCAAACAACGGCAAGCGCTTCGGTTCGTTGATGACCAGCTTCAGGTCCCCCACCAACACTATCAAATCCATCGACCTGAGAGAGAAGAGGGGAATAAATATGTCTTTAAGTTCATGTTCTTCATACAGAATGACTTCTACCTTCTGGAAAGATACAATAATAGGTCAAGCTAAGTGAACTTTTAGAAAAAATATGATTTAGTATAAATGTAGTATTTACTAAAGTTGAAACAATTTACTTTTATTAAATGAAATTAAAGCAGACTTTAGAATAAACTGAACCTGGGCTGGAGAAAAACCTAACAATATAATTTGATACAACACCTGATATTACACCAAAAACGTACTGTTAAAGTTATTTGGTTGTTATATTTATTTGTGTGTTAATGTTAGTCTGTCAATTCATTCTGCATTCAAGAGACTGCTCTATAGCCTGAGGATTTATTCACTCAAGAGCACTGAACAGTAACGTTTTAGGTTCCCGAAGTTGCTCTTTGAGAGGCTTTTCAAACTTATGAATATGGATATCTATTGTTTTAATAATGCACATATAATACTTTAAATTGTCAGATTTAGAGACACTGAATGTAATAAAGACTAAAAGTATTAAAGGTGTCCCTAAAGAGTACTCCACTAATTCAACATATCACTCCTATTAGATTGTCGGACTTATGGTGGACAGTTTTTTAAATTAACTATTTAATATCAACAGAAGCTTCTTCCTTAACAAAACCTGGTGCCTACATTACCCACACTGCAACTTGAGAAGTTACATTTTGTTTGGGTATATTTTAAGCATAAGGAGCTCGCTACAGAGGTCTGCTTAGCTCACTTCTTTCTACTTCAAACTTGTAGTTGTCACACCTAAACAACACTGACTCAAGTGTGGTCAATTCTAAATGCTGATGGAAGAAGGCAACACAATAATCCATATTTTACAACTCAAAAGCAACCAAGGCAGCAAATTAATAGCTACTGTGTAAAATCTGTCCACCTGGCCTCCTCTTTAAATTATTAATAAGCGCCATTTCAGCCCTGTTTGGAGGATGAACATAAAAAGAGCTTTTGTGGATAACTGGCCAAGCTTGTCGGAGCACAGTGGAAACTGATCATAGGCTTAACCGCTGGTGCCACAGAGCTCTGGCTCAGTACAAAGATTAATGGAAACCTAGACCTTTAGCCCCCCCCCCACTCCCTCCAGTGCACCCCCATCCCAGCCCTCTGAGGCCAGGCTGTTATCAGAAACCATGATGGAGCACAGAGTTTAACCTGGAGAGGTCTGTGTGCATCACAACAAGGCTGACATGATAAAGAGCTTTTGGAAACTATACATAGAGTAGAAAAGTTGTCGATGATCAGGTAGAGGTTAAACGGCAACAGAGAACAAGTAGAAATTATGAACAAATCTAGAATTTTATCTTAGATTATACTATCTTTTTTAAATGCCACATGAGTTCAACTAGCAACACTTTTGATCAGTTCTGCTTCAAAGTGTTAAGGACACAAAACTATCAAGCATTTCTTTCATAGAGGACTATATACCTGAAAATGAACACAATTTGCATGTCAGAGACAAATCAACAAAGGAAATTCAACTTGTACGCAGGTCTACAGACAATTAAACCACTGGTACTCACTGGTGATACATGCGGAGGACATCATACAAGTAATCGTTCTCCGCTTCATTTTCAATCAGCAGCTCCACCTGCAAGAAAGGACAAACATCTGGTGCCAATGTTCCTCTCACTGCTGAATCAAACACACATTGTACCTCTCTGCTGTGGTCCTGTCAACACCATAGGGGGGTGAGCCGTGTGTGTGTGTGTGTGTGTGTGTGTGTGTGTGTGTGTGTGTGTGTGTGTGTGTGTGTGTGTGTGTGTGTGTGTGTGTGTGTGTGTGTGTGTGTGTGTGTGTGTGTGTGTGTGTGTGTGTGTGTGTGTGTGTGTGCAGGAGTCATACAAACCTGATGGCGGCTCAGCTGCAACAGAATGGTTTTGAGGAAACGCTTTGGCCAATCACTGATATAACACATTTCACTTTAAGTCCTTCTAAATTGTTCCCAAACTACAAAATGCTCCTCAAACCCAACCTGAGGTGTTTTTCTTTTTTCTGAGCTGTGGTTCAAACTCGGCTTTGAGGATGATGAGACTCCTTGGACTGAAGCAGGTGTAATGGACAGCCCTACCCTAACTATCAAACTACTGGGAGAGAATAATGGCAGAACAGTGGAGGAGAGGCTGGAGGAGGAAGGTCAGCAGTGTCATCTTACATCTCTGACACAAACTGAGGTGAACATTCACACCAAACAATCACACACGGCACACGCACACCACATCTTATGCCATACAGACTCAAACACAGATCTGCAAACAACGGATGTACACACGCACATTCAGTCACGTGTGTATAATGTCGGGGTTAAATGATTGGACTATAATGATAATAAATGTAGGACTGCACTATGTGGACCCTGCTGTGATGGTGTGTGTGTGTGTGTGTGTGTGTGTGTGTGTGTGTGTGTGTGTGTGTGTGTGTGTGTGTGTGTGTGTGTGTGTGTGTGTGTGTGTGTGTGTGTGGGTGTGTGTGTGTGTGTGTGTCATCACATTTATGATAGTCATAAATATCTTCTGCTCAGGGCAGTGAGGCACAGCCGGCCACTCCTTCATGCAGACTTTAGCACCATAAACCAATAAGGAAAGATAGAATTGCTCAGTCACATACCAATTTTAAAAAGTGCACCATTCAGTTTGAAGCTTCAGATTGTTTTCACATAATGAAAAGGGGACTATGATAATGTCCTAAAAAGAAACAAAGCCCCATTGTGCCTTGTTAGTCCCTTAGCCTCTAATTAAACTCGTAAATTGTCCCATCTCTTCGCTCAGTTGCTCATCTCTGGCACGCTCTGCATTTTCTAATGCTAATTTGCCCTTTGTGAAGCGCCTGTAATATGTGACACTGCCTGCCTGAGTGCAGCACAGATGGCTGTCCGAGGATCCCTACATACACTGACGATATCATGTTTCCATCCCCTGTTATTTTTTACTCATAGTTATCATTTCAAGGCTGTTCTGTGCCAACACCAACCACAAAAACATGGTATAAATTATGCTTGCTTCATAAAGCCACACATTTAAATAGCATTTATTGTACCTTGGACCTCAGCTGTATGATGTTTACATAATCTTGAAGAGGCATAGACAGGTACATAAAGGATGTCCTTCTATATAGCTTTTTAGAACATGTAAGCTGTAAAGGAAAATAGATCCACTGAAGCCCATATTGTGTTCATAACTAATAAGAGATATGCCTTTAAGTACAATCCAACAAAACAGTTGCTGAGACTGTAAGATCCCTATGAAATTCGTCTAATAATAAACAACCCAAGGAAACCACTTATTTTGGTTGAATGAAAACACATGAATCTATGTGCAACTCTTAGTGTTGTCTATTACTTCTCCTATGGGCTAAAATAGTTAATGATATGTTATATGTTCCCCAGGAGACACTCCCACACACAATATCAATTTTAGATTTGAGTTAGAAACATGCTTTTTGATTTGTTCTTCAAAAAGTAGCGTTTTAACAGAAACAATTTAAAGGATTTTAACTGTTTGTTTGTTTGTTTGTTTTCGTGAGGCTTTCGGTCAGGCCTAACGTCTCAGAGAAAGAGACACCTGAGCCGGTGAGGGGATACACCAGGTAGGAGAGGAGCTTTTGTTAGGTCAATTGAAGATCAAATAAAAGGATATATCTATCCGAGGAGAATAATGTTTCTCTCTTACCTTGTGCCGAAATTCCCGAGCAACTTTCCGCTCCATCGCAAAGAGACAGTGGCAAACAGAGCGACGTGAGATCCCAGTGAGAGAAGTTTGTTAGGACTGGTGGTGAGTTCATCAAGCTAGCCGGAGGAAAACTAAAGCTTCCGGTTAAGATTTTCATAGTAAGACAACTATTAACGAGGAAAGAAAGTTGGGTTAAGGAATTCGACCAAGGTGAATATATATTTATTTTTTAACGTGGCTAGCTTCTTTTTAAGAAGATATCACAGATTTGCATATTTCTTATTCTCCACGTTTCCATTTCAGCCTTTTATTTTGAAGGGATAAACGTTTATCTTCCGTTTTTCTGCAAACTGCAAGAGCTTTCCACAGTAGTGCATTGCACACACAGAATTAATGCAAACGCTGTTGTGTAACAGTGGAATCGAATTACTAAACTAAATGTATATGACCACATACACAAATACCATCCATAAATTGCGCCAGTTCAATGTAATTATTGAAACTTTAAAACAATTTTCTTTACTTTTTTCGATATTACAGTAACTTCCTGATGTTAAATCATCCTCCATCCCTGGTGATGTGTCTTCTGTCTGTTTAAGTTGATTCCTACTTTTCATGTCGCTCCCAGCTCAAACCCAGTACCCTGGCCTGCCGCTGGAGGACCAAATAACTCCGACTTCGCTGCAGTTTGCCACGAAGAAGACGACGACGCATAAACTTCCGGGTTTCAAAATCCAGATGACAACAACCGGTAGCAACGAACCAACAGCACCGCTGAACGAATACTTTTGAGACTGTGGGTAAGTTAAATGTAAAAGGATGGTAGCCAAAAACACCAGAAATAAGTTAAATGTAGCTTTGTTGTTGTGCTGTTATGTGCTTACTTTATTTTTGCTAAATCTAAAGTGTTTCCATCATATACCTCACAAAGGATCAACAAAACTTAGTAGCTTTGCAAAAGGAAGTAACGTGCTTATTTGTTTTTGTCATAAAGGTACAGTTACAACTTTAGTCTTATTTAGCTCGATTTGTGTTGAAATCTTCAACGTGAGTATACCGTTATTTCTAAAAGAGTAGTAGACTTTGCTTTTAAACGTCCCGCTCCCCCTGGCGCCCGACCAATGGAAACTCAGACATGCTGCACACACTTCCCTTTATACAATATGTGTCACATTTGACTTTTATATTTTACAAACTACGCTTTATATGATCGTAATCCGACCACAACTCATGATAATGGGCATTTAAAAAGATGGCATTAAGCTGTTTATTTGCTGTCAATATTTCAGTATTCTCAGCAATGATTTCTCACAGTGGCTCTCTGGGCTGACATCTCTGTATTAACATTGTATATTCCAATCATCTGTTTGGCGTCTTGATACAGAATTGTTTGCAGAAAGTATGTAATTGTTAGACAGGTATAAACAGTATTTTTTACAGTATTGATGACAACCACTTTTTTTATTACACTTTTGTTTTCAGTGTTATTGGGATGGGATCTCCAACAAAAGATGCAACACCACACAGGTAAGATCTTAAAGTCAGAGAAAAAAATGTGTGCAATATATATGTTGCTGTGACACTGGTCCATTGTCAGAAGATGTAATGCTTTAACTGTAATCTCCCTGAATGATGCTTAGTCTTATAATGTCCCCCCCCCACTGATACATCCCTAAATCTTATCCCACATGGATTAAGTCTCACTCCTTAAGAGGGTTTAAATGCCTTTTTTCATTCCTTTTTTGAATGCAGCAGGTACTGTCACGCATGGGGCAAAATGTAACATTTTCTCATTTTTAAGATAAGTCTCTTTCTTGTTTCTACAGAACCAACCTTCGTACGCCTGGTCGAGAACCTGACTCCCCACTTCCCCCGATCCACGAGCGGCTGGCTTACCTGCGTCCCTCCAGGGAGCTGTTGGAGTTTTACAGACAGAAAATCGCCCAGTTTGACGGAGAGCACGAGGAGCTGCTGCAGATGCTGGAGAAGTACAAAGGCATCACAGAGGACCAGGTGAAACACAGCTAGGAGTCATATGTGATTATAATTGTTTTTGTATGTTTGGCATGCATGAGTATAATCGCCTGTTTTTACTGAACTTCTGTGCGTCCTGGATTTCCTCTCAGCATAAACTACAGTGGGAAGTACGACAGCGGGAGGGCGAGATTGCCGAGCTGCAGAACGCTCTGAGTGACATGCAGGTCTACCTTTTTCAAGAGAGAGAGCAGTCTCTCCGGCTTTATGCGGAAAATGACAGACTAAAGATCAGGTGGGTGTACAGTTGATGATGAATCCAGTGGATATTTTGACCTGTATTAGCAGGAAATCACAGCTTTGATAATAACATGAATTAGGGCTGCTTTTAAATGTAGGTGTACCAGATCCATGTGGCTGCTATTATGCATGATTTTTCACTTAATGGTACTTCATATTTGTTTAAACAGTATAATAGTGTATGATTTTCTAACAGGCCCTTTGTGAAACCACCTGTGTGGTTGAGCCTTTAATATCTGCTTTTAGCATTGTGTTGTCATTATTTTTTCTCAAGCATTACTATTCAGTTATCTAACATTATTGACTGCTGTGCAGAGAGTTGGAGGACAGGAAGAAAATCCAGCACCTTCTTGCTCTGGTGGGTCCTGATTCCGGGGAGATCACATATTTTCACCGGGAGCCTCCTCACAAGGTACATGTTTACTTTATCGTTGATCTGTCTCACAGCAGCCTGTGCAGTTTATCCCTTTTATACATGCTAAATCGGCTGGCACACTTAAATGGAACTGGTGTTCCAAAAAATTCGAAAATATTGTTTATTACTTTATTTTTGCTCTACACTTTATTACTTGGGATTAAATATGACTATGCAAGATAAAAAGGTAAACAGGTAATCAATGTTCTGAACACAGCTGTTCTGTTGTATATCAGGTAACCATCACACAGAGGGAGTCCAGCTTGGAGGAACATCTCAATCTCAGGCCAACAAAGTTAAGACCTGCTGCGACCAGGAAAGGTTTGAAAACATTTTATGGCAAATGTCTTTTGTACAATTAATGTTATTTAAATGTTAAATACAGACAGACTGTGACATTTTCATTCCATGTCTGTATTTTTTTAGAGAGTGGCAGGAGATTAAAATCAGCAGAAGGGACTAATGGAGAGAGCTTGGAACAATACAAGAACGATAACCAGACATTGTTACTACAGGTAGGTCTAGGTGTCTTTCTGATGCGGGTAATAGAATGAATGTGCTTTCAATTTTCATAAAGAGAGCTCTCACTATTCAACATTAATAATAAACAGAAATGTGAAAAGAGTGATGAGAACTTTTTTCCCTTCTCTGCCTCCATGGTTTTGGCGATTATTTTACCAAACTATATTTGTATCGCTTGTGTTTTCAGGTGGAGGCCCTGCAGGCTCAGATGGAGGAGCAGACCCGTCTGGTTAGAGAGCAGGTAGAGTCTCTGATGGAGGATAGGCAGATTAAAACAGAGGAGGCACAGGCACAACAGCAGAAAGATCAGGAGCGGATATCAGCTTTGACTGACAAGTGGGTCTGCATTTATTTATTTTTATTCACAACTACTGTACTGTGTATTTTAGGAATGATGCTCTTTAAGCCTTTTTTTCATTTTGTGAATCGTGAATCCTCTTTTGCATTTTTTTTTCTTTTTGTAAACACATTTTTCTTTGTTTGTTTACACCTCAGGCTCCAGCGTACCCAGAACCTGTTATATGAGAGCACCAGGGATTTTTTACAGCTAAAGTTTGACGCCCGGGCTCATGAGAAGAGCTGGATGTCAGAGAAGGACCGGCTGCTCAGGGAGTTGGACTCCAGCCACAACCGCCTGAGGAAGACCCCGTCTGCCGGCGCAGAGCTGGGCCCAAAGTGGCAGCCCAGTAGCAGCACCGCCCTGCTCCCCCCTCTGCCTCAGCCTGAGTTGAAGCAGTCGCTCAAGGAGGAGCTGAAAGTAATGTTTGTTTCGTTTTTTTATCCTGAAAGCAAAGCCAGAACTTTAAATATATCTGCTAACTCACCTCAATATTAATAATAATAATAATAAAATAATAATAATTCCTTACATTTATTATAGCGCTTTATCAATGACTCAAAGCGCTTTATCCTTCCCTTTGATGAAATATTAAGCTCCGTTTGTTTTAGGGTGTTTTGTTTTGTTTTTTATTTAACTTGTTTTTTTTTATCTATGTCCTCAGGCAATGCAGGAGGATGTGAAGCAGGCCCACCGTCTGGCAGAGATGTACAGAGGGCAGTGCATTACACTGGAGACAGAGCTGTCCCAGATCAGAGAGGAAGGGGATGTGGGCAGGGAAATATTTAAGGTACCATTCCTGTGCATATACAGCTCTGATTTAATGTTCATATGTTATGCCATGCCCAAGTTCCTTGATACTGATGTTTGTTATTTTACCAAATGTTTTTGTGCAGGAGCGTTCAGACAAAATGGCCAAGCGTCTGCAGCTGATGACTCAGCGTTATGAAGCGCTGGAGAAGAGAAGGGCCATGGAGGTGGAGGGCTTCAAGACGGACCTGAAGCACCTCAGACAGAAGTTCAAAGATGTCGAAAAACAACTCCTCAAGGTGAAATTACTTGACTGATAATTGAACTTTTTCAACTAACCCCATTTTTTCACTTTGTCTTAACTGTTAAATGTTTTTTTGGCTGATTTTTGTAACACCAACCAGCATGTTTTGAGCTCTCTATTTAACTTTATATAGAACTTTATTATAGTTAAAATGCAAACTGTTAAACCTGATGTACATACATCCTCTGTGGCAGGTTACTCTGAATGTTGGGCCCAACCAGGACTTAGCCATTCTGCATGAGGTACGTCAGACCAGCGGCAGGACGAAGAAGGTTCAGGGTGAGCTGATGGCGCTGAAAGCTAAGATCTACGGACTGGAAAACGAGCTGAGATTCAGCTGAGGACTGGACTGTGGTGTCTACTGTCTGCCTGTAGAGGATAATCAATGTGAAGTTTATCTAAGTCATGTTTGTTTGTGCTACTGGGTTTATAGCTTACACTTAGAATTAATGTTATTTGTATTTTGTAACCTGGACTAATAAAGATGTTTTGCTACAATGGTTTTAAATGAATGAACACCCATTTACAGAATGAAATGAACATGTCATATGACATATGGTGTCTAGTAAATACTTTGGAATTACTGATTCTGTTACAACATTACTGGCAAAATATAAATAAAAAACGTTTGTTGGACTTAACTAACTTTACCTAAGACAAGCATAAGTATAGACATGGTTTGGTTATATAGAATGTCTGTGAAAAGTAAATTCTAACATGGTACCTGGTTCATTTGTAGGTGTTAAGAAAATAAATTGTATATGTGCATTACCATGTATATTAATTAAATATAAAATGTGTACGGTCATTTGCTGATATATTTTAAAAGGCTGACTAAATTAAGGCTGTTAACTTGAACACAGCATTGTATAAAACCCATATAAACTATAAAGGTTTTAAACATGAAATGTTTAGTAGCCTATGTAGTAACTAATTTGACCAACCACTTTGCTCAAACTACACGGTATTATGACATGTTACAGAACACATTATTTGCGTGTCAATGTCGAAAATTAATTATTTATAATAATTTTAATTATATTTGTGCGGTTAAGTTTCTATTATAAAGTCATTCAGTTTCATTTCTACAAAAACTCAGATCATAAACAACCTTGTCTTTCCGGTGGCTCTGCGCATGCGCATTCATTTTCATAGACGTCACTGTTGTGTATTGAGCATTGAGTGATGGCAGCTACACTGACAGCATGAGCAGAGCGCGCAGAGTTTAGTATTGACCCTCTCTGTTTGAGATACCATGACCCATTTCTTCAGTCCTAAGTAGATAGTTACTGTTAGCTCGGCTAAAGCTCTTTTATTGTTGTTTACCCACCGTCTTTTACTTACAAGTGCCTGAAGATATGCAGAGAGTAAGGTGTTGGAAAACCGGCTTGCAGCTGCTGAAATCAGCCTGTGAGGGAGCAGCAAATCCTTCGACTTCAAGAAAGTATAGCCATGTAAGTAGAAAACTTTACTTAATTTAAGATAGAGGTTAATGAATACCAAGTTAAGAAAAGTACCTTGTCAGCTTGTTTTTGTACTTATTTATTTTCTATTGCAATGTTAAAATGGAAAAACCACATGTCAAAAAAGCTAACCCCATCACACACACACACACATTTTTACTATGGCACAAATTCAAACCTCAGTCATTACTATGTTATTCTCCTATTTCACTCCTCAATTAGTTATATGGGTCATTCTACAGAAAAGGTGGAAGTGCTGTCACTTACTTTTGCAGACACCAAAATACATGACATTGACCTAATACTAGTGCTGTAGCGACGCGTCGACGCGTCGACTTCAAAATATCGTCGACGACATATTTCCGCGTCGACGCGTCGCTACACACACGTGGGTCACCCAAAGCAACAAGCAGTTCGCAATCGCACTTCAAACACAATGGAGACTGAAACGGCTACCACCTCCTCCTCACAGGATTGCGCACGAAGCCCCCAAACGAAAACATCTCGCCCTAGGTCTTCAAAAGCATGGGAATATTTTAAAGTTAGTCCAAAACGCAAAGATATTTATATATTTATATCTCACTGAGACTGCTGCATAGCCTAGCAGAAGCAGCAGCTAGCTGTGGTGGCTACCATTAGCAGCTAGCATTTGCTCTCCGATTTTTTACATAAAATGGAATTATGGATTATAAATTCAATCATTTTTTATACATAGACGTTAAAAACCTATGGATTAACCGATTCAGCCGCGTTTTTTCTCATTTTAATGCCATTGAACACGTCTTTTGATCAGATTGACAGCTACGGTGGTAAGACGATCTCCCTAGAAGCTCTGTGAAGGTACGTGTTGTGATGACTGTATTTGCTTCCCCTGTCGCGAGTCCGGATCACTCAGTGATGATACTATATACCTACATAATCTGTGGAGTCTCAGCTTTAATCGGATATATTGTATGTGCAGCTACGATAAGTAATAAGGGTACTTTTATCTTGAGTTCTGTGCCAATGTCCGTTAGCATTTTTCGCTCAGGGGTCATTTAGATGCTTCTTATGAGACTTGTGTTTTGTTTTGGTAAACATGGTTTGTATCGTCAATTAACTGAGATTATTTCCGTTAATCTGGTATAACACATTAATAGGTTCTTAAATATTAAGATCCCCTGAGACACAGTATCGTGAAAAAAAAAAAATTTACATGACGTTTTTTTTACATTACGTTTTTATGAAATGAACAACAGAAAAATAATCGTTCGATTAGTCGACTAATCGATCAAATAATCGCCCGATTAATCGTTTTCAAAATAATCGTTTCCCCCCAGCACTACCTAATACTCACATTTATTATATATGTTGAATAAATAGAGATTGTCTTTGCAATGGTACTAAATAAATAAAAAATGGTTTTATACTTAAATTGCAATTTATTTAAAATGTCAAGTTCAAGGAACTGCCTTGTCACTTTGATCATACATGGAAGTGGAGCCTATAGTTTTAATTTAAAAGATTTTCTTTTCAATAAATAAATCTAATTTATATTTACATAACATTACAAGCATTAAATATAACACTGAAATGGTAAAAAAAAAAAACATAAATTATTATTAATAATATCAAATAAATGTCAGTCACCCAAAATTACGTCATTGGTGTTACTGCCACACAAAACGCTTTTATTTTTGAAATAATGTACTGTCTCTGAAGTGCCTCCTGTAACAAGAGATCATTTGAGGCAGTGCAGTGGACAAAGACATAAAGAAAGTCAGATACTTCTTACTTTGTTTGTTAAAGGTGTCATTTTATCTTAAAATGTTACATGCGTCTTTCAAGTCTGTCATTAGTGTTACTCATTGCATAGGGTGAACATTGGAATGGGAAAATGTATTGTATTGAAGAGTTAAACGATTTTGATATTGACTGAAGCCATATTTGGTCTGACACATTGCTGCCATTTTGTTAAAATGGTAGTGTTTTCTCCAAATTGTCACAGGATTATGACCCAGCCTGTAGTGATGAGAATTCCGGCTCTTTTTAGTGAGCCGGATCATTTGGCTCGGCTCACCAAGAAGAGCCGGCTCACCAAGAAGAGCCGGCTCTTTTGGCTCCCAAACGGCTCTTCATTTTACCACATACCTTTTATAATTCAATCAAATGTAGCCCTGTTTTGACTCAGGATGTATATGTGTACACATATCACTTACATTATTCAATACATCCTTTGTACTGAAGTATTCAAAAGTAAAAATTACATTTAATATAAATGATTTGCTGTGGCCAATTGTTTTCATTGCATTTAAAGACCCTTGTAACTCTCTGATACCACCCAATGAATGCACTGACTTGTAGAACCACGCTACACAAAGTAGATAGCAAAACCTATAAAAACTTTAGCATAGACATTTTAAAAAAGGACAGCTACAGTATCGACATTTTAAAATTGTATTTAAAGAAAAAGCCCTAACAAAACAGCAGGGCTCTAAAAACAAAAAAAGACAGCAACAGCTGACATCAAATCTTTGCTGAGCCTAAAAGATAATCATAAATAAATAGTGAAAATAAATATATTGCAATGTTCAAAACAGCAGCATCCAACCGTTTCTAATCCTTGGATATTACATGTCACTGCATGCATGCACGGAGCACCCGTAGCGCGGAGATCATCATATCATTCCGTCTTGTATTACTTAACAAAAATAAATAAAACTCTTTGAGCCGGCTCGTTCGCGACCGACACATCACTATGAAGTATCACTGCTAATGAACAGCCCCATGTTTTCATGCTGCACATGCCCCCCCCTCTCTATCCCAGCTCCCTCCTCAGGGCGCCGGCTCCTTTGGGCTCCTCTTTGACATTGATGGGGTGCTGGTGCGGGGCAGGACCCCCATCCCTGCAGCCAAGCAGTGCTTCAAGAACCTGGTGGACCGCCATGGGAAATACAAGGTGCCTGTGGTGTTTGTCACCAACGCTGGGAACTCCATGAGGCAGGCTAAAGCAGAGCACCTGTCACATCTGCTTGAGGTGGAGGTAGCTGAAGACATCATTTCACTTTTCCCTTTTTAGTCCTCAGCTTGCACTGTTTTGTTTTTCTCTGACATCCATATTCTTTCACAGGTGACTCCAGACCAGGTGATGCTGTCTCACAGTCCTTTGCGAATGTTCACCGATATCCATAAAATGCGGGTGCTGGTGTCTGGACAGGGTCCCATAGAGGAGGTCGCTCACAAGTATCCTGTCTTAAATCGGGAACTCTGCGTTTGTGCACTTACCTCTTGAAGTTGACCTATAAGAGAAGTGTGCATGTTCTGTTTATTCAGTGTATTTTTGCTCGTGTTCCACATTGTTATCAGTATTTAATCTGTGTACCCTTTGCTGCCTATTTATCTCAGTGAGGCCCTTTCACAGATGTATTGCCTTTTATCAAGTGTAGGTTCAATTTCAATTCAAGTTTATTTATATAGCCCAAAATCACAAATCCTATTTGTCTCAGAGGGCTTCACAAGTCAACAAACAAAATTGGCAATGTAAAACAATGTAAAAACAACAAACGTATCTTACAAGATCAATGTGAAAATACCAATTTAAAAAGGAACATAACACAATGACACAAATACAGTTAGAGTACAATAAATACAATTCCATAAAACGAAACGAAGTTGATTCCAGAGGAACGGGGCTTGGTAGCCAAAAGCTCTAGCACCTGACCTTTTTTTGTGGACTCTGGGAACCACCAACAGACCTGCACTCTGGGATCTTAATGCCCTAGAGGGGCAATAGGAGATTTAAAAGATCCTGTAGGTAGGATGGTCCCTGACCATTGAGCGCTTTGTATGTGAGTAAAAGTATTTTAAAATCAATCCTGGACTGAACTGGGAGCCAGTGCAATGCTGATAAAACAGTCTGATGTGGTCCATCTTCTTTGTTCCTGTTAAAACCCGTGCTGCAGCATTTTGTATGAATTGAACGGTCTTTAATGATGAGTTTGGACAGCCTGATCAAAGGGAATTGCAATAATCCAGCCTGGAGGTGATAAAAGCATGGATTAGTGTTTCTGCATTGTTGTCATTTAGGATGTGCCTGATTTTTGCAATATTCCGTAGATGGAAGTAGGCAGTCCTTGAAATTTGCTTTATATGGGATTTAAAAGACAAATCCTCGTCAAAAATAACACCAATATTTGTTACAGTGGTGCTGGAGGTTAAGGTAATACCATTCGAAGAAATTATGTTGTTGGACAGTTTGTTCCGAAGGTGCTGGGGGCCAAGTATAATGACTTCTGTTTTGTCAGAGTTTAATAATGGAAAGTTGCAGGTCATCCATGTCTTTATGTCTGTGAGGCATTCTTGCAGTTTTACTAATGGTATTGTACATCTGGTTTAATTGATAGATACAATTGTGTATCATCTGCATAACAATGAAAATTGATGGAGGTATTCCTTATGATATTGCCCAATGGTAGCATATATATGATGAACAGGATGGGTCCAAGTACAGACCCTTGCGGCACTCCATGACTGACTATAGTTTGTAATGAGGATTCATCGTTGACAGATACAAACTGAGACCGTTTTGATAGATATGACCTGAACCAGCTTCGTGCAGTTCCCCTTATACCTATCAAAAACTCTAATCTTTGGAGTAGTATGTTATGGTCAATAGTGTCAAAGGCAGCACTCAGATCTAACAGAACCAGGATAGAGGCAAGTCCATTATCAGATGCACAAAGCAGGTCATTTGTGACTTTAACCAGTGCTGTCTCTGTGCTATGATGTTTTCTAAAACCTGACTGGAATTTCTCAAATAAACAATTTGTATTTAAAAATGCACACAATTGTGAGGCCACTGCTTTCTCGAGGATTTTTGAGAGGAAGGGAATGTTTGATATTGGCCTGTAGTTGGTCATAACCTCAGGATCAAGGTTTGTTTTTTTTATAATAGGTTTAATTACAGCTACTTTAAATATCTGTGGAACATAGCCTGACAGTAAAGATATATTCATCATATTTAATACAGGTGTATTCATTTGGGGTGAAATTTCCTTGAACAGCTTCGATGGAAAAGGGTCTAAGATACAGGTAGATGCAGAGGATGAAATGATTGAATTTAGTTGGTTTTGGTCTATAGGAGAGAAGCACTCTAAGTATATGTCCGGTGTTAAGGGTGATTCAGTGCTGACTAAGGGTAGGTGGTTTATTTTGTCCCTGAGAGTTATAATTTTATCATTAAAGAAGTTCATAAAGTCATTACTACTGATGGATGTAGGAATAGAAGACTCAATGGAACTGTGACTCTCGGTCAGCCTGGCTACTGTACTAAAAAGAAACCTGGCATTGTTTTTATTTTTCTTCTATTAAGGAGGAATAATAAGCTGCTCTGGCAGTGCGTAGTGCCTTCTTATATTTTTTAAGCCAGAGTAACCGAAATTCTTCATGTTTGGTGGAGCGCCATTTCCTTTCAAGTTGCCTTGTCCTCTGCTTTATTATGCGTGTTTCATTGTTGTGGTTGTCATTCATTTAAGTCAATCTATGGATTTCCCATCAAGTCTTAGAAAAAGACAGTTTTTAAGGCCTTAGTGTATAGATAAATACCGTAAGTTAGTCAAGTGTGTTTACTGTAACTCTTGCTCATCTGTGTTTGACTTTAACCCACTTCAGCCTGGGCTTTCAGGATGTTGTTACCATAGATATGCTCAGGGATGCATATCCTCTTCTAGATGTCGTAGATCACAACAGAAGGCCCAAGGGCAAGGTAAGTAGTATTAATAGTCAAGCCTGTTGATGTTCAGTTACAGATTAGTGAGACATTTTAACAATTGTGTATCATATTTTACAGATTCCCCCCACAAAAGGCTTACGACCAATAGACGGTAAGTTGTAGCCTTAAGTGTGATGCTTAAGCATTGATTAACAATTCCTAACAAACTCAGGAATGGCTGTCTTATGTTTCTCCCTTCTTCACCTGTGTGTTCCTACAGCTGTCATCCTATTTGGTGAGCCAATCAGATGGGAGACCAACCTCCAGCTTATTGTTGATGTCCTCCTGTCTAACGGGAACCCAGACAATGTTTGGAACGCGGCGCGGTACCCTCACATCCCACTCCTGGCCTGTAACATGGACCTGCTGTGGATGGCCGAGGCGAAGAGTCCCAGGTACAGTATGTGTAAAAAATACACACTGAAACATTATTAAGGGTGTTATTATACTGAATGTCCCTGTGTCATAGATTTGGTCACGGTATGTTCCTGGTGTGCTTAGAGAGCATGTACAAGAAGGTCACAGGCTTTGATCTGAAGTACGAGGCTCTGATCGGTAAACCCAGCATGGTGACGTATAACTACGCCGAGCTCCTGATCAGAGAGCAGGCCAAGAGGCTGGGCTGGACCACGCCTGTGAAGCGGCTGTATGCTATAGGGTGAGTTACTCAGTCGGCTCATGACCTTAGACCCACATTTGTCCTTAAAGCGATAGTTCAAACTGTTTAAAGTGGAGTAGTTTGAGTTTGTCCATAGTGAAGCAATACACTGCTGAGTACAGGGCTGGCAGGAAAATGTATATTATAATCAATATCAGTTTAAGTGTATGCCATATTTAGAATATTTACTTTACAGAGAGAGCCCTTTCCTACAGGGAACTGAATCAGAATCGGAATACCGTTATTAGTCCCACAGAGGGGAAATGTACATAGTTACAGCAGAAAAAGAGCCACAGACAGCTTAATGTTACATATGTTACATGCATTAAAGTACTAAGTTATGATATAATACAAAATATAATAAAAGAACATTTAAAAAAAGTTACATCATTTTCAAAATACACATCTTGTAACAGTTCTTAGGATTTAGCAGGCAGGTATATAATTACAGTTATTAACGGCATATATATATATTTTGCACATATAGCACATAGTTGGTTATGGTCATGAACAGTCATTTTACTCTTTATATTGAGTTGGTGGTCTCATACTGCCTTAATTGGTTTGTTTTTTCAGTTATTGTGTAACTTGTGTTTTTCTATCCTGTCTTTAAAATGGTGGAACCAGCTCCCCATTGTAGCAGGAGAGCAGACCGTCAACACATCGTATGTCTCAGACTGCACCTTGGCCTATAAAATCTATCAAAGAATATTTATAATACAACTCTTCTCATTTCTGTATGTCGCACTATTTGAAGCATATGTCCTTGCAGGACTCTTGCTGTTCTGAATTTGCCCTCATGTAGATAAAAGCATCAGCAAAATTAAAATCTGAAGGGTTGGCTCTGATTCACCAAAGTCAAGTAAGAGCTCCTTTTAATGTGTTGCCACTTCATCTTTTTAACAGTGATAACCTCATGTCGGACATATACGGCGCCAACCTCTACGACCACTACCTTCAGGCTTCCCAGCGCACCAAGGCCCAGATGCAGGCCAAGAGTGGGGGAGGAGGCTCAGAAACTGTTGAAGACGCCCTGAAAATGACCTCAGCAGAACTGGGCGGAGCGTCAGGTGTGTACGGGACGGAGGGGGACCTCCCTGAGGGCTGCAGCTCCATCCTGGTGTGCACAGGAGTGTACAGCAGAGAGGAGGGGCTGCCCTCGGACCCTGCCCTCGCCGTGAAGGATCAGCCCACCTTCCACGGCCACAGGGACTTCCGCTTCGACCCCAGCCTCACGGAGCCGACCTTCCTGGTGGAGGATGTGAAGGAGGCGGTGGAGCTGGTGTTCCAGCAGGAAGGCTGGCCTCTGGAGTAGGATGAGCGGCTTCATCAATAACAGCCATCCAGAAAACAACTCTAACCATCCTAAACCGGTAGCAGCACCATCTCTAAGAGTTGTTTTGTGACTAACATCCGTCCCTAATCTTGACTGGGGACATGAAGCTGTTTCAGTGGCTTGTTTTTACAGATTTTTATAAAGTGCCGTAGAATTAAATGCAAACAGCAACAGTATGCAATCCTTTTTAAGTTGGTCATGTTTGATAGTGTGTCACAGACTGCTACAGTATTTATATTGCACAACACCTCCACAAACACACACAATTGCCCTACCTACTACTACTACTACTACTGTACATGTCAATTGATCAAGTAGAACGTGTCCATTCTTGCCTTTTTACGCAGCTTTCTCTTTTTATAAAACACACATGGATTTGAAGGAAGTCTAGGTTTTGAGTTACTAAACTATGACATTTATAGAGTACTGTAAGTTCATGTATGATTGTTAAAACATATTTACACGTTTACCTGGATAACATTCAGAATAATCCAGAAAGACCTTATCTTGCCTTTCCAAAATATACCTAGACCATTTCTGCCGTTTTTTTTTACTGCTATCATATTTCAGCTTGATTTGTTTTTGCATGTGTAACCACTAATGGTAATAAGATTAAGTTGGTTTCAGTTTAGTACCTCATACATTTTAACCTATGTCCAGAGTACTGTCATTTTATTTATTTATTTTTTTGATTTATACACAATATTACAGTTTCAAAAGAATGTGCTTTTTTATCGTCTAATGGTTAAAGTCTAAGGGAAATATTTTGAAATATTTTGAAATGTCAGTAATACAATATTTTTGTTGAAGATTAATAAAGTATTTACATTAAAGTACTACTGAAAATTAGACAGGTTTGTTATATCTGTAATAATATAACATTATAATAAAGTATATTATTAAATTGAGTCTTTATTCTACAGTGATAATTAAGTGGAATCTGCAGGTGATGTTAAATACTGGGTAAAACTGTGAAACACTGGTAATGTACTGAAAAAGCCATATTGAATAAAATAACAATTAAAAGGATGAAAGACACAAAACGTTGCTTGTCAAGTCAAATATTCTGTGTACTGTAGTGCAGTTTTAGTACAGTCCTCCAGCTGAGGTGTGAGATCCTCTTAACTTATCCTCTGAATATACAAAACATGTTTGATAAGCAGCCACCATTTAAAACCTGTTACTTATTCAACAAAATGCATAAATATTCAATGTCAAAATATATACAACACTTTCACACACACACAATGTATATATGTAGTTTCTTCTAAATTGTCAACCCTATTTTCCAAACAAAAAGCAGTTGCAGTCCGCTCAGCAGCCACACTTCCTGTCTGAAGACTCGGAGCCGTTGACCGAGTGGGAGCTGTTACTCAGCATGAATTGAGGCGAGTCTTGGGGTATCTCGTCTGTGATGGTCATGCCGTTGCGTGCCAGCAGCTCCCGGGCCATGAGGATGAAGGCTGCCTCCACATTCTGGGCCTCCTTGGCAGAGGTTTCCAGGGCAGCCAGCACACCGTTGTTTTCTGCCAGAGTGCACGCCTCCTCGAACAAAACCTGCCTCTGAGCTTCAAGGTCGGACTTATTACCTGCAGGGATTAGCAGAGCAGGCAATCAGAAAGAACACAAATAGCAGCTTTATCAATTTAACACGGTCAGGAAAATAGCAGACATTTTTTTGAGATTCCAGTGTAATGTGTTAATATTTTCTCCCACCAACAATAGAAATACTGAGTTAACTGCCCTAAATGAAAAAGGAAAACATAACACCCTCAGATTGTAGGAGATGGAACTAGAGGAGCACATATACTTGAATTTTTTTTAATTGATTTTCAATTATATATAATCTTTCAATTTGCAAACCATGTAATCTAATGATTGTTTATCAACATAAAAGACCAACAATCCAAAATCCCTAAAAACGGTTTACCAGCAATGTATTGTCCTGAAGTCTAGGAATATGTAGAAGAGTTTACAGGCTAACATAAAACCAATTTATTTTCAATCTACTTACCAATGAGGATCAGCACCACGCTGGCAGCTCCAAACTGCTCCACCTCTCTGATCCAGAGGGGAACAGAGTCAAACGTGGAGCGGCGTGTGATGTCATAGGCCACCATCGCCCCGTGGGCACTGCGGTAGTAACTCTGAGTTATGGTACGGAAACGCTCCTGACCTGCTGTGTCCCACACCTGCATCTGCAATAACAACCCCAAAACATCCAATATTACTTACATAGTTACAAAACGGGCCTTTGAACATGAGTTAGTCAGATGTGCTGTGAAAGACTCTGAAAGTAATCCGTCCTTTTTTTTTTATTACTTTGCCTGTGTAGACTAACCCTAACTAATAAGCATAATAAGACAAGCAAGCAGTTGACAAATGAACACACCCAGAAAGCTAACACACAGGCCGTTCTTAGGGAACATTAAGGCACTCCTCTTTCTCTTAAGGAGAAACAAATACTGATCAAGCAAAGGGAGTATTTACTTTAAGACAAGAGTAAGTACACACACATCTTATATATTCATATTTCTGTTAAATATGTTAAGTTATACCCATGATCAAATTGTGTTGTCACATACCTTGACCTTCTTGCCATCGATGTCCAGGGTGCGAACAGTAAAGTCCACCCCGATGGTGTTCTGCTGCTTTCCAATGAAAATGCCAGACTTGAAGCTCTGGACCACACAGGTCTTCCCCACGTCTGAGTCCCCAACCAGGATGATTTTGAAAAGAAAGTCGAAAGAGTCCTCAATCTCTGGCCCTGCTGACTGCATGGTGAAGGGAGGAATATGTTCACAATAAACCCACTGAGGCTGAAACACAGGATTATGTGCCTCTATGCAAAATAACTGGTTCAAGTTGTGTCAATAGAAAACTGACACTATTTACAGAAACATCCTAGTCATAAAAAGAGGAAAATCAGGTTTATATCAGCTGTAGTAGAACAGTCAATGTGTTTCCAGCTGAAAAATGTGTGATCTGCAGGTAAAGAGCCAGTCAGAGATCAAAATAAATCAATATAAATTATGAAAAATCCCAGTTTTTATCCAACATTGCATTTTCTGTCATGTTAAACCTCATTCACCAACTCTATCCAGCTCCAAAATCAACTTGATTGTCCCATAGCAGAGGATTAAAGTTCCCTTTTTGTCACCCAAAAGTTGTTATTCATCCTGTGCTTGTTTCCATGTCTTTGCTACGCGACACATTCTTAAAGTCTTGAAGAACAGTCTGCCCTGCTGCCCTTTAGACTGTTTCTGCCTTCCACTTCAATTCTGACACATAGACCCGCCTCCTACCTGTCTTGGTAGGTGTGACCTCCAACTGCCAGCCCACCTGCACCACTGCATCTTGGGATATGGGTTTTCTTTGTAATAGGACGCAATACCTGAAAGAAGCAAAAGTAAAGTTAAGTGACCTGAAATATTGTTTATTACAATAAGTACTGGTTAAGCATAAATAGATTTTAGATGGATTTAAAAATATTGAGATCTAGTTGGATTTGTTACAAACTAGTTATGACATTTAGTTTAGAGTAAAAGTTACACAGACTACAAAGTGCTGGCTCAGTGTGCAAATACCCCAAAGCAAACAGCTTAAACTACTTCTGCAACTTAACGTAATGTAAAAACTTGACATTCGTCTTAACAGCTGTCCTTTGGACCACAGAATGTTTTTGTACCTTTAAAATTGCCTAAACTATGAGCCCCCCGGCTGACTGCTGTCAACTAACACATTCCACAGCACTCCACAACAGAGAGCTAAGCGTAGCACGAGCAGGAACAAAACACCACAGGCACTTAGAAATGATGTATTTAAAGACAGGATTATCTAACTAAAAGTGTAATTGAAATGTTTTTACCTCAGGCTGCACACATTGGTATCACAGTGAGATGTTAACACAGAATGAGCATTCAGCTCTGAATCAGTCTCTCTCTCTCTCTCCACCCCCTCTCTTGTTCTGTCGTCATCTCAGCCCACAGAACAAGGCACAGCTGGACACAGGACAATGTGTGAGTGTGAGGGGCACTTGACCGAGCTGGGTGTATCTTTGGCTGTGACCACCAGCCACCTCCTTTCCGTAGTGTGGTTGATGCCTGATTAGATGCAATGAATGTGGTTTTGTTGACCATTTCGTGATGGCACAAATAAGACAACAGTGAAAAAATTACTTTGATAAAGCCTCTTTTATCGACAGGATGCAACAAAATAAACCCCATTGTTTAAATGTCCAGCCATAATGCTATGTACACGCGCCATTATTATGGTATAAAAGCTGGGTGCAGTATCAGAATACATTTTAAACATATTTGTGAAATCATAACAATCCCCAAGACACATCTTTACAAACAATCTAATATGAGCTGGTGCATTATTACAATATTGTTCAGTGTTCAACAATACAACAAATCAAAATGTAGATATGGAAGCTTAAATACCACATCCATATAAGTGAACAGAAATACTTCTGTGATTCAGCAGTCTCAGTTCAGGAGCTGTTGTGGTTGATGAATCATATTTAAGCAGTAACAGAGCAGCCGTATCAGTCACACACGTGTCAGCTGTGTCATCTCCTCTGCAGCACCTGGGTGGCACTCGCAGAGTTCCTCAGTCTCAGAGCGCTGGCGGAGCTTTGTTGGCTCCTCTGTTGTTTCTGAGGTTTCTTGCCAGATGTGTTATTCAGTTCTTTCTCCACAGGAGGGACGTGAATCGGCTTCCAGGGGATTGGATTGTAGAAGCCTGGTGACGGGAGGTATTTCTCATATGGACCTAAAATAAATCAAAGCCATAAGAAACTGATACATAACAAATTCTAAATACTTGTCTTAGCTAGGCAAATTAAACGTAAGATATAATGACATTTGATCCCGTCTGGAACTAACTCAAAAACAGTTACATTTCTATAGACATCCAATCCAATTATTAGCTTAAAGTAAACATGTATTTAATATTTTTGTATCACGGAATACCACAGCTATACCTTTGTATATATATATAAAGTTATATATAGTATTTTATAACACGGTTTTAAAAAATGAACACTGTCAGTTCGTTTTTTCATCAGGGTTATTTCTGTCTTAAAGGTCCCATGTCATGGCCATTTCTACTGATCATAATTCCATTGTCCTAAACGGCTTGTTGGAACTCCTGTCCCCCCCCTCCCTATGAGCCCAGTAGATTCATCAGAACTCTGTAACCACCGTTACAGCGGAACATCAGTGATTATGTGTTACAATGGCGTTAGCAACCAGAAAATGACACCAGTAATGACAAACAGATGAGAATGCTGCGTGGGGTCTGGGTGCCGTGTTGGCGGGACATTGCGAGGCTCGCTGCTGGAGCGGACAGTGTGAGCTGGATTACTGGTGTTGTTTCCTGGTTGCTGCGTGGGGTCTGCGAGACATCGCGAAACTCAGCCTGAGCACCATGGACGCGGGAAGGGGGGGTGCAGCACCCCCACCTGCGAGGCTCCACTAGCACCCGCGGCACACCTACAGTGTAATCGCGCCACAGTTTGGCTCCACTAGCACCCCCCCCCCGCGCATCACAGTTTCGCCGCTGACCGCTGAGAGAGTGTGTGCGTGTGAGGAGCTCCACGGAGTGGTCCATTTGGATCGTCGTTACGTCACTTGGTTCCCGGAAGAAAAAAATGGAAAAAGAAAGATCTCCAACGAGGCGTTCTGGGGCAGCATAGACAGGACTTTTCTGTTTTAGAGTTGTACTCGCTACAGGGTGTACTTTGAGGGTTTGTGACTCTGCAGACCGTTTACATGCAGAAAAAGCTACATAACACACAAGGGGACGGGTAATAACCGGAAAGCATGACATGGGACCTTTAATACATTTCAGTTATTTACATTAATGTCTTTAGATCACTTTTTCACACAATTAATTAAGTTATTTACAATAATATTTGCTTTATATATTTGCTCCTACAGATGTATTTATTTATGGTATCAGTTAGTCCACAAATTAAAAAGCCTAGTGAATGAGGTTTAAATGAATGAAATGATCTTACTTCTCGTGTAGCAGGGTGATTGGGGACTAGCTTTGGTTTTTTCATTAGCTTTTGCCAGCCAGTCCTTAAACTTCTCCTCTGCCCTCTGGTGGCGCTCCTTCTCCTGCTCCTCCTTCAGGGCAGCTTCCTCCTGTCAAGATTAAAAATAAATATATGTATCAGTATCGGTCTATTTCTGCTCATGAATAATCTTATACATGAATCTAATAAAAAGATCCACATTACCTTCTCCTTCTTTTCCATTTCAATTTTTTCCTGGTTTTTCTTCTGTAGCCAGTCTTTGTATTTTTGTTGAGCTTTCTGTTCTATCTCCGTCTGTTTCTCGTGCTGCCTCTGTATATCCTCCTCCTCTTTCCTCAGTTTTAGAAGTTGCTCTTGCTTCTCCTGAGATTGAAAAGAGAAAACAAATAAAAGACATGTTGTCAGCATTGGATAGTGTACCAATTACAGCCAAAACACTATTGTGCTTTATGAGTTTTAATGAGTTTAAAGTATATACGAGTCATATACCTGTTCTCTTTTCATCTTTAGCCAAATTTGGATCCTCTCTTCCATGACAATCTTTTTCTGTTCCAGCTCCCTTTCTTCATGTGCTTTCTTTTCCTTTTTTAACCAATCCTATTTTAAGGAACATGAGATGTTGAGATTCAGACCGGATGCAATAAGAAAATATATTTTGGAAATAAGGAGGAAAGTTATGACTAGCCTTATAGACACATTTAAAGAGCAAAAGAACATAAGGAAAGTACACACTTGTACATTGATATAAAAGGTAATTAACTGTTGCTTGCCTCTTCTGCTTGTTTTTCTAAATGTAAACGGTCTTCTTTTGCTTTGCTAACCAGCCACTTTTCCCATGCACTAAGAGGCTCCACAGCTGTATCCAACATCTGCACTGAGGGCGTTCTTGGTAGCTCACATCTATAACAGAAACAGATGTACAATGTATGTTGTCTCTCTATAATGCACCCTGTGGTCTTGGTTCAGAAAGTATCTTAAGCCTGAATAATTGTTCGGTACCTGACTGGTGAAAGGCTGAGTCTGGATGAGTCGCTCAGCCTGGGGGAAGCCCGCGGGCTGGGTTCCAGGTCTTCATCACTGTCGAAACTGTCGTGGTATATGGGAGAGAGCAGAGAGAAAGTGTCTTCTTCGTCGGACAGCACGTCGTCGTCCAAACCCTTTGATATGTTCAGGTATTTCCCCTGGATGGTTTTGACAGGGGTGGAGCTGAAGCACTGGGACGCAGAGGCAGGAAAGTTCGGCATCTTCCGTCCAGACATTGCTAGCCGATATCTAAGGTCGACACATGAGAATGTTTTCCATAAGTTACGCGTGTTGTCTTTTTGGATGCGCCTATAGCACAAACAAGCTTATGCTAAGCCTTATGGCAACAGGTCCTTTTTACGGCTAGCAAAGAGGGGGTAGCGTTAGCACTCGAAGGAAACTAACAGCTAGCTTTCGCTTTGGTTAGCAACATTAGCTTTATTATGTAACGTGCTACGAACGTTTAATGGTTAGTTTCAAACTAGCCATCTCCATGTAGGATGTGTGCAGGTCTCTTATTAACTGTACAACATTGCAAACATTTTATAACCTACCTTTTTTACGTGTATTTGAAGAAAAGCCTGCTTTCCTCGTCGTTTCCCTCAACGCTGGAACTGATTTCCAACCAACTTTTTTCCCCATGATACACCACGCCCCCAAGCTCAACTGGACGCTGCTTCTGTAACCGTGGTGAAGCCTGGCGCCATGGATACCAGCCTTCTGTCTTTACAACATTATTTCCTTCTCAAAAATAATAATCTGTGTTATTGACATTGTTTATTATTATTTATTCAAAATAGTGTGGCATGTCAAAAAAGGCCCACTATAATTATTGTATATTGGCCAATTAGCCTACTAGGGCCTATATGAAATAAGGTTCAAACATTGATTGCAATTTTTTACATTATCCCACACTTATCCCTTCTTTCATACTGGTCTTTTTGGTTATCTCTAAATAGCTTGGTACCCGATTGGTAATGCAACAATTAATTTATAAACAATTGTTGTTGAGACAAATATCTCTTGGCCCTCAAACAAACAGTAAAAAGGGAGTAGGGTTTTCACGGTCTTTGAATCAACAACATTATTCCAGTGTTATTCTGTCCAGTGCTGTTTGGTTGAGTCAGACAACATGTTTACTCCCTACTGCAAAAACAGGCAGTTATTGTTGATCCAGCAGCCCTGATCCAGGTTGACCGGGCCGTGCACTCGGTCACACTAGCACTTAACATTTTCAGTCTAATTATCAGCAGGCGTTTCAAATTGAGCTTGTACTGCTTTCACATAGAGATGTGGCATTTTGCGAGTCGGATGCACTAAATTAATTTGTTGTCTTTTTTATGTGTGATGCTAAAGCCAACTAAGCATTCTGTGTTGATTGTTGATGATCATTTAATCTATGACTTTTTGCATTACAAAATAATATTTATGTTTGAATAGACAACATTTGCTTCATTTAAAACAAGATCCAACAGATTACAGCTACTGTAAATCTGTACCAGTGGTGGAAAAGTCCTCAGATCTTTAGGGGTTAGGGTTAACCGGGTTAACCGGGTTCAACCCTAACCCTAACCCGGTTAACCCTAACCTAAAAGTAGTGATACCAGATCTTAGAAATACTCAGTAACAATTAAAAGCATTCAAAACATTTCTTGGTTTGGAATTATTAGCATACAGTTGACTTAAAGTTTCAAAAATAAAAGTACTCATTATGCAGAACTACCTGTTTCAGTCGTACTGGTATATTTTTGATACTTTTTTGTCTGCATCAATGCTTCAGCTGGTAAAAGTGAATGTGCATGCACTTAGTTACTTTCCACCACTGCGCTGTATGAGTCATTAACAGAAACAACATCCACATGACTGTATCTTGTCAGCAATTATACAAATATTTCTGGGATGCTCTCTACATTGCTCCCAGCCTACACTCCTTCTGAATACAATGTTGAATCAAGTGTTAGATCACTGTGAGACAACCACAGTTCTGAGTAAGATCCTGACACAGGAGGACATCAGCCACCAGCACGTACAGAATGCAAAGAGGTGTGTCTGATCCTAAGTGTCGCCAGAGTCACACCAGGGTGAGGGATTCCAGCTCTGGCTTCTGCTGCTCCTATCCTCGAAGGGCAGAGTTCCCTCTCATCAGAGCTCTGCGAGATTCATTAGTTAGCTGAGCAGCCCATCAGCCAGCTCGCTGGCCAGGTGGTATGGTGGTAGGAGACCCAAATAAACTGCCAGATGGCAGAGGCCAACTGCGTCGACACTCCAGGGCCCCTCGTCCAGACCAGGCTCCTCGTCCAGAACATGAACCACCAAGGAAGTCCCGCAAGAAGCTCCAAGTTATCATCTGTGTCCTGCTTGTGGAGCTGTGTGAGAGGTTCACTTTCTTTGGGATTGTATGCAACACCATTCTCTTCTGCACGGTGAAGCTGGGCTATGATAACTACCTGGCTGCGACCGTCAACCTGTGCTTCATAGGAGCCAGCACCCTGACCCCGGTTCTGGTTGGCTGGTTTGCAGAGACCTGCCTGGGGAGGTCCAAGGTGCTCTACATATGTGCCTTCCTACATTTCTTTGGTAAGATACGATTCAAGTTTATCAGATTCACTGTTGTGATCAAACTTGTGATAAAACTATATGACTTGATTAAAATGTATTCAGTGTTTAGTATTTCCGTATAACGTAAGATTAGATATCCATTTGGTGTGGGGTGAAATCTTAAGAAAACTGGATATTTATCTGTATGTTTGACTTGAAAAATAAATATTTGACACATTATTCATCATGAGTCTTAACCTTTAGTGAGTAAGCTCCTTTCAAGAGCGATACTTTTCTTATATTTTAAAACAACTTTTTCAAGTTAAATACAAGATGCGAGGCTCCATCGGGACATAAAACCAAGGTTAATAGAAAAGACAGAAAATAAAATCGGAAAAAAGATTAAAGAAAACACAAAACCATCGATAAATAATCCATTCAAAATATATGAAAACGAAAGCCACTAGGGCTTCATATATTGTATGAAGCCCTTTATTGTAATACAAGCTAATATACAAAGATCAGAACTTTATATAACCTCTAAACTCTAAATGTATATACACTCCAAATCCCCCCTTCTGCCAGAAATACCCACAACATTCCATCTATTAAATGATTTAAAAGCATAATACCACTGAAAGGAGAGAAACAAATTATCCAAATAAGGAAACCAAATCCCATAAATGCTGATAGTAAAAAAGACAGAGCCATGACTGCTTCTGTTAAGTCACACTGTTATTTGAAATACAACTATACCGTGACTTTCACCTGTCACTATGCTTTCTAGGCACAGCCATGCTGCCTGTGGTGGCATTCCCCTTCGAAGATTTCTACATTGACACTCACCACATGACGCACCAGCTGGAACGTCGGGAGCAGCAGATCTTGTTCTACACCGGCCTCCTGGCTGCTGCTCTGGGCATCGGAGGCATCCGGGCCATCCTCTGTCCAATGGGAGCATACAGCCTGCAGTGCTACAACCAGCACCAGCTCCTGTCCTTCTTCAACTGGTGGGTGCTGGTGCTGTTTGGATGCAGTTATTAAACTGGTTAGCCAATGATAAGACTCCAAACTGTCCATCGATATTGTTACTGTGATCAGTTTCATTTAAGAATGATTTCTCGTCAAGTTCTTTACAATCAAGTTGTACTGTTTAGAAATAAGACATGCAAGTTGTTGTATTATTATGGAGAACTATAATGTCCCGGAAATTGGGACTTGAGTTGTAGGGGAGTAAACATGCCAGTCATTAAAAAACTAGACAATTTATTCGAAGAAGAGCATAAATGTTTGCTCCAAATTTCCTATGAATCCATTCAATGGCTGTTATGTTAGTTCACTAAACACCTTACATTTCAATTTCATGGTTTTGCAAAAGGCTAAGTCAGAAGATTGCCAAAGTCATTGTGATTTATCTTCTGGGGACCATGAATGCCTCTAACAAATGTCAAATTACACTAGTATTGAGGTATTAAGTAAGGAAGTGAGTGTATTATTTGCTTTACGTTTGTTCAGGTTCTACTGGTTGGTCAACCTGAATTCCACTGTGGTGTTTCTGGGCATCGCTTACATCCAGCAGTCTGTGGCCAAAAATCTGGGCTTCCTTATCCCCTTCACCTCTGTGCTGCTGGCTCTAATTGCCATACACATGATGCGGAACAATCTCACCTACAAACCCAAGAAAGGTAACATACTGTATATAAAATGTCATTATTAAAGTATTCAGACACACTTACATTACTTGTTTTCAGAGATATGGACTTTAGTCAGACACAAGTTTGATTACTTGAAAAAAATCTTGCAACTTGGAATGGACTTTAACACCATAGTCTTGTAACTTCAACTTAAGCTTTTTGACTTTTGACTTTTTGAAAATACCTGTCGGGCTTCTGACAAGCCCAAATATTTCACAAATCAAAAAACTTTAGAAGTTATTAGTTAAGTCGAACGCTTGAATCTGAAGATTCACTTGGTTGGTACCAATCAAACAGAATCCAATCATATTTCAGGAGAGAGACAAGCCCCGAGCCTGTTTTTCAGGTCTCAGGCTCGAAAATGACATTCCCAGAACAAATGACCATATCTTCCCTTCTAAAAGGGTTAAATTAATAATATTTTTTCTCAAAGCAAGGTTACATCTGTGAGTTGGGTGTAGAAGGGTCAGAATCAATATAGATGTTTGTATTTTAAAGTAAATTCAGATTGAACACAGTAAAAAAATGTAAATTAAATTGTGATGTCTGTGTCTGTGTTTGCCTCCCCTGTCGCGAGTTCGGATCGCTCAGTGATAATACTATACCTATATAATCTGTGGAACCTCAGCTTTAATCGGATATCTTGTATGTGCAGCTACGATAAGTAATAAGGGTATTTATCTTGAGTTCTGTGCCAAAGTGCGTTAGCATTTTTCGCTCAGGGGTCATTTAGATGCTTCTTATCAAATCAAATCAAATCAAGTTTTATTTATGTAGCACATTTATAAACAATTTTTGGTCGAGCCAAAGTGCTGTACATATAATAAAAATAACCTACAGTAGAGACACTTTACAGCAAATACAACAGCACAGATTGTTCAGAATATCAGTATGAGAAAAAAAAAAGAAAAAAATTATGAGACTTGTGTTTTGTTTTGGTAAAAATGGTTTGTATCGTCAGTTAGTTGAGATTATTTCCGTTAATCTGGTATAACACATTAATAGGTTCTTAAATATTAAGATGCCCTGAGACACAGTGTCGTGAAAAAAAAAAGAGACCCGCCGAGGGGGTCTTTGGGGCTTAACAGGTTAAGAATGTTACGTAACTGAGCACCAATTGATAATACCAAAGAAAATATCCTATCCTACAGAAATTATATAGTTTTTAAGAAAGAATGAATTGCAGTATAATATCAGAGACAAGTTAGGACTCAAAATCTTGACTCCACAATGACTTTGGACTTGGTTGTTACTTGCAAAGTTGGTTCCACCTCTTTTTGTATTTTACTTGTAACACCACAATAACTTGTTACACATCAAATCAATTTAACAATTCATTCAATTACTTCATGTGTCTTTCGTTCTGCAGGTGGATCATTATTGACCACACTGGGAGTTTTCTTGAACTCCCTCAAGATGTGCTGCCTCCACTACCGTCACCTGAGCGGAGATGTGGGATCTTGGCTGGACCGGGCCAAGGAGAACAATGGCGGCCGTTACAGCGAGACGCATGTAGAGAACGTCAAAGTCCTGGCCAAGCTCTTCCCTCTGTATGGCCTTCAGCTGCTTTACAGAGCCTGCATCACACAGGTGGTTACATGGAGTACAATGTGGCTTTATTATGAAGCATGTAAAAGGATTGTGTCCATAATGCACTGAGGTTAAGACAATGTTTTTTCAGATTCCCTCAGGGTACTACATACAGACCATGAACTCAAACCTTCACCTGGCCAGCCACCTGTTGCCCATCGGTGCCATGAATGTGATCAGTATCATCCCTCTGCTGCTCTTGGCCCCCCTCATAGAGTGTGTGACCACTTGCTACCTCTCTGCAGAAAAAGCTCCTCTGGCACCTGCAAAAGTCATCAGTGAGTATTTCTATGTGCACACACGCACATCTCCACTTTTGACATATCATTCTAATGTCTCTCTCTCTTGCTCTTCTGCCTCCCTTTCCTCCCGTACTTATTCTGCAGCCCCCTCTCTTATCACCCCTTCCTGTCCATCCTCCCCTTCTAGCTCTGGGCCATGCATGTGCCACTCTGTCGGTGTTGGTGGCAGGTTTGTCTGAGCTGCATCGGAGGTCCTATCCTCTGGTGGAGCAGACCCTCTCTGGGAAAGTTCTGCAGGTGTCGTCCATGCCATGTTTCCACCTGGCTCCTCAGTACATCCTGCTGGGTCTTGCAGAGGCTCTCGTCACCCCTGCATGTGAGTGAGGCCAGTGTTTAATGCAGGTTGTCTGTAGCTGGTGCTTCCTGCCTAAAACTTCCTCTTTATCAAATGAGAACAAACTAACTGAAATACCTTCTGTTGAATTTCCAAAGTTTAGAAATACTGCCCTGTTTGTCATAAATACACAGCAGGGATAATGACAAAACGTACCTGCTGTCACTTCCTCTCCCACAGGCTCCCTAATATCTTTCCAGCTGACCCCAAGCCACATCAGAGGGATATCCTTACACTTCCTCACTCTGTCCTATGGAGGGGGCTGCTTCCTGGCAGCCTTAATCGTTCAGCTGGTGTACTTTCTCTCTGGAGGTAAAATGAGAAAATAAAAACTTCGAATACATTGGCACTGTAATTTGGCTAAAAAACAAAACTTGTTTAGCCTTAGATATCACTGATTCTGGAGACTGCATTAATACATGTTTACAGGTAACTTCTACCCAGACGCACTGCATGATGGGAACCTTGAGAGATTCTTCTTCCTCCTGGCCTCACTGATGGCGGTTAACACCCTTGTGTTTTGGCGTGTATCTAACAGGTGCAGTATTATCTAACTACCTGCCTGCACTACAAGGTGGTCATCAGGTTACTATTAGATTATACATTTTACATATCATACTTTAATTCTAACCCTCACTGATTTCCCCCCAGGTATATAGACCTGAGTGTGCAGGGTAAAGCCCTGACAGTCAGCCCTCTGGCTGAGAAGCTGCTGCACTACAAGGCCTGCCTGCGCTTCTACGACACGGTGGACCGCTCCTACACAACCGCCTCCATCGAATCTATTTTATGAATATCTTAAATATTATCTTTGCTGTTAGTGGCGCTGGCGCTGCATGTGACTATGTCAGAGTCTGTGACTATTCAAGCCGAAGTGTATAAATAAGGTACCTGGCATGTACATATGTTTGGTGTCCCTTGCTGTGAATGCTGACCGTTATTTGAGTGTGGCCTGTACAGGAGAGATTCATTTTGAGGTACATTTGTAAATCAAATTGTGAACATAAAATGTAAATAAAAGCACAATAAATCAAATGAAATTACACATCATTGGAAGAAAATTGCTCTTTATTGAAGTCTATTAAAGGTAGGGTATAGGTAATTCATTTCAGATACACTTTTTGTGAATGAATACGTTATGCTTTGACAATAAATACATTTAAAAAAATGCATTCTGTGGAAGCCGTGGTGCTATAAAAAGCACGACCAATCATCTGAGCCGGCCCGGCTTAAATAACTGGATGGCCTACCTGCCTGTCAGCCTTCCATCTCGTGCACAAATGTATCACTTGCCCTCATTGGTCCTGTGCGCGTCCGTGTGTGTTGGAGGAGTTGCTCTGTAAGGAAGTCTGAAGGAAGGGCCAGATTTCTTTCGGCTGCTACTTTCAAATACTAGCGCACTCAAGCTGGTTTCTTATCCATTCTTACCTACCCTACCTTTAAAGCAAGAATATGCTGCTTAACTGATTGTTTGATAATTGAAAATAAAGGATAAGCATAGCAGTATTTACAATAATCAAGGATTTAAACTCTATAAACCATTGGTGGCCTTTTTCCCATTATTAACCCCTAGCACAAGACACAACAGAGTGATTGTTCCAAGTATTTTTTATAATATCAAATCAGCCTGCAAAATACTGAGACACCATCTGTTGAATAAGCCCACTTTGAAAATGTGCCCTGATGAGCTCAAATATAAAATTATTCAAAGTATAGAAGTTATATAAAAAAGTATTTTGATGTGCTATATAGAGGCATTTTAGAGAACAAATAGCTTAACTAAAAGATATATTTTCAACTATTTATTCGTTTCCAGAATTCTCAGTACAAATACCCATTATGTGAATATTATTCCTAATTTTGTACATATTTACTTTTAGGGTTTTCTGTCCATCTCAATAATTTAAATGCTTATTTTTTAAATTAAGCACAAATGGCTTGGAAGAAATTATGAAATTATGACATTTTGGACAGACATGGATATAAACTGCAACATCTCTGGTTTCCCTGAGGCATTTTGTTTCTTTAAATGACAGGAGGTCCTGCGGCTTTAATGGTGGCTTCGAGTTTGCATATTTTAAGTGTCGCACCCAAATCCACGGCAAACCCAGGATACAGAGGCTCGGTGAAAATGGTCTGGACGTGGTGCAGCAGTGAGAAACTGCCCGAGTCAGAAACACTGTAGAAGCCCAGAGTTCCTGCTTCAAAATCAAGATGTATGCCCACTCTGCGGGAGAGAACCGGAGGAATCTGGCCTTTGTGAAGATTATTGTGCCAAAATGTGCTACCGGACAACGAGCAGGTTAATTTCCAAGACAGCTCGTTGTGGCCGAAACAGCAACTTTTGCCAGAACCATTTCTTTCAATGCTTCTGTACGACACAGCCAAATCCACAATGCCCCCATCCCACTCCACCTCCCAGTAGTGGCTGTACTGAAGGCTGTTTTTGCACAGAGCCTGGTGATAGTAGGAGAATCTGTCTGCATGATCAGGGTGAGCCTGGTCCCGGTCACTCCATGATATCTCTCTGTTTCTGTCTGACAAATGAAGACATGCAGCTACTGTGTTGGGGTCCACCTCCATGGTGGTGTCTCCTGGGAAAGATGAAACACTGTTAAAGATGTTCAAGTATGTTAACACTGAAATGTGTGAATGAACATCAACCTTACCCTGATATTTGGTCAAAAGATACATCCTTGATATTGTTTTCTCATGAATCGTTGGTCGTTTCCACACTGTGATAAAAGGAAACTGGTCATTTTGTTGATACACTAACAGAAAATAAACAAACCAGATGAATTTTGAGATTCACTTACACAGATTTTTTTCCAGATCACGCAATAATTCTATCTTTTCTTTGTTACACAGATTTTTCAGTTTTTTTGTCTGTCCAGAGATGAACTCTGTCAGTGTGTTAGGACTTGACTCTGCGAACACAGGGAGGTCACCAAGGGCCTTGAAACCCTGCAGAGGGCCAACAAATAAAGTGTGTGACTATCTGCAAAAATTAAATAGAAAGTATTGTATGGTCTCAAAACACATCCTCACCTGCACAAACTGAATGGGGTCCTCTGTTAGTGAAAGCTGGTTGAGTCTATCCTCCCTGCTCCTCAGCTCGAACACTTCACGCTCCAGTTGTCCGACACAGATGTTGGTCCAGTCCACTCCTGATTTCTCTGCCTCTCCAACTCTCTCTCTCATCTCAGAGCGCTTCCTCTCCACAGAACGGACCAAAGTACAGATGTGTTCCGCACACAGCCGCTCAAGGTCATCACACGCCTCCCATGCAGCATCCTGGTAACGGAAACATGCACCATTTGTGTAATGGCTGGTGAAATGGGGGATTTGACCATATACTTTACACTTCCTTTAGTTATTCTGCAACATTTGATAGGTAGATGTTTTAGAGGTTTATTTAAAATAAGTGAAATATTTGCAAAACATTTTGACATTCATTCATACATTCTATTCCAAATCATTATTTAAACTCATGTGCAATGTCATGGAAACTGTGGTATTAATGAAATGTAATGTTTTAGTTTTGTGTTCTTTAAGAAACAGATGTCTCAAGTATAAAGAAGAAAGGCATTTATAAAAACTGCAGATAGAAAGTGGAGGCAGGATCTGGATGGTGTCAGGATAACGATAAGGTTGACCGGTAAAGGATATACTCACTTAACACTTTGCGTGCATGGAATAAAGATCTGTATGTTTCGTGCATTTGTTGCCTCACATATAATACTCTAGAGTCTAGACCATGATTTAAAGTTGTAATGACAGCAACAAGAACGCAAGCTTGTGTGATTTAAGAGGTCACAAGCCAAAAAAGGTTAGGTATCACTGTTCAAGATTACTCCAGCCATTCACAATATTCCTGTCAGTGTCTGGATATAGTCTGCATGTTATGTTCAGTGTGTCAGAGGCTGAATGTTTTCAGAGACACTGGAAAGTCCCCTGCCTTACACAGTTAACATCCACGCCCCTTTCCTCTTTTTTAGGGGATCTTTTTTGTCAGCATATGAGGCACTTTGAATACTTTGAAATATGTTGAAGAATAACAGAAAAGGTAAATGTTAAACTCACTCTTATAGAGCCTGCAGCCTGCCTCAGCTCCATTATTTTACTCTCCGAGTGCAGCAGTCTGTCTGCTATTTTCAGTTTGGTCTGCCCCAGTTGTCTCTGTTGAAACACAAACATTTTGAGATGATCAGTGACTATATAACAGTCTGGCCTACAAATGACTCCAGCATGTGGCTGGACTGAATTACCTGCATTTGACACTTTTCTGCTGACACTGCCACAGTGTCATGTCCTTTGTGCTCATCCATGGTACACAGCAGGCAGATGAACTGCTGATCCGTGCGGCAGTAAATCTCCAGAAGTTTGTCATGACGGCCACAGATTCTGTCTTTGATCCATGCACAGGCTTTGATCAGATTGTGTTTTTTTAAGGGGGGCACCTCAAAGTGAGGCTTCAGATGAGTCTCACAGTAAGAGGCCAAACACACAAGACAGAACATGCACGCTTTTCTTTTTCTCCCTGTGCAGGCGTCACACTGAACATCACCAGGAGCAGCATGAGTGCTATTATCAGCGTCTTCACTGTGTGTCTTCCTGTGCTCCTCCAGCAGGGCAGCCAGGAGTGTGTTCCTCTTCAGATCAGGCCTGGGGCAGAACGTCTGCCTGCACTGAGGGCAGCTGTAGCTATTCCCTCTGTCATTATGTCCATCCCAGAAGTTATTGATGCATTTCATACAGTAACTGTGTCCACAGGACGTCGTCACAGGATCCTCCAGTAGCTGTAAACAGATAGAGCAGTCGAACAAATCCTCACTGTAGGCCATTTTGTGCTGCTCAGAGTTAGTTTAACTTTTCCTGGAAAGGAGGTGTGGCTTGTTGTTGGCAGATAATAGGCTTGTTTGGACAAGCGAGACCTGCGCAGTTGCGATCAACGTCTTGCTAGTGCGTTGCATGATGGTTAGTCATTTTGTCCGACTTGCTCTGGAGGCTCGCCTACATGAGACGTTGAAATCTCGCGGGACAAAGACGCCCGCAGCCTTGAGAGCGAGGCGCGGCGAGGCGGCGCAGTTCCTCTCCACGGGCTGCGGAAGCGAAATGCTTGATGAGAAACGACTCGCTGGTATCTCGAGCTGAGTGCTCATTGGTGGGTTTTACCCCGTGCTGCTGATGAAACTCTCCAATTGGCTCTGCAAAAGTTTGTTGTTGTTTTGTGTCAGTTTTACGTCGCCCCATCCATTCCCATTTTTCATGATTGTTCCACAATGTTTATCATCATGGAATTAATATCTATATATTTTATACTATACTTGCAATGCTTACCGTTTTCATACTTTATATATCTTAGCATATTCATACACACTGTTCATACTGCTCACAGGCTGATATGATATCTAGTGTATTCATACCCCTCACTGTTTATTCATCATTCAATTCATTCTATATTTTATTCTGTCTATTGTGTACATTATTTTTCACTTTACTGCTTGTTGCACCTGGTTAGAAGCTAAACTGCATTTCGTTGTCTCAGTACCTGTAATATGTGCAATAACAATAAAGTTGAATCTAATCTTGAGCAGGAACAAATGTATTTACTTAAACAGCATGCTGGCACAGAAATGCACAAGGGAGCAACACAAAATAAAGGTGCATCAAATATAACTAAATTCTTCAGCAGTTCAACTGCAGAACAAGACAAAGTTGCTGCATGTGAGGTAACATCAGTGTATCACACAGTTAAGCATGGTTTGAGTTACAACAGCATGGACTGCAGTAATAAGCGGGCAAGTGCCATGTTTAGTGATTCGAACATTGCAAAGAAAATGCAATGTGGAAGAACAAAGGCTGAGATGATAACAGCCAATGTGCTTGGCCCCAAAACTGTTCGGGATATTCTAAAAGAGCTGTGTCCTCCTCTCACCGAGGTCGCAGCAGGTGAGGAGGTGGAGTAACTAAAAAAGTAACTAAATCCGCCAGAAACCCGAAAATCTTTGCGCGCACGCGCGCGGGGGACACATGCATGTGTCCCGTTTCTCCATT